CGGTTGTTACTGGCTTTTTCTTGTCATCTGCGTTTCAAATTATATCAAATGGATGTCAAGAGTGCTTTCTTAAACGGAATACTTCAAGAAGAAGTCTATGTGGAGCAGCCAAAGGGATTTGTTGATCCAAAGCATCCTGATTATGTGTACCGTTTGAAGAAAGCCTTGTACGGTTTAAAACAAGCTCCGAGAGCATGGTACGACAAACTCTCATCGTACTTGTTAAGGAAAGGTTATACACGTGGAGCTGTTGACAAGACTTTGTTTGTCAAAAGAATCAAGAAGGACGTGGTGATAGCACAAGTATATGTGGATGATATAGTGTTTGGTTCCACATCTGTTGTGTAAAAGAATTTACTGAGGTCATGCAGAGTGAATTCGAAATGAGCATGTGTGGAGAACTAAATTTTTTCTTGGGATTACAAGTCAAACAAAGTGTAGATGGTATTTTTGTCTTTCAGACAAAATATGCTAGTGACCTAGTTAAAAAATTTGGCTTGCATTCAGCAAAACCCGTCTCAAATCCCATGGCAACAACCACAAAACTTCACAAGGATCCAAATGGAAAAAGTGTTGATCAAACACTTTACAGAAGCATGATTGGAAGCTTGTTGTACCTTACTGCTAGTAGGCCTGATATCTCTTTCAGCGTTGGTGCTTGTGCACGTTATCAAGCTGATCCAAAAGAATCGCATCTGGAAACTGTCAAAAGAATCATCAGGTATGTGAGTGGTACAATTGATTATGGTCTTCATTATTCTTTTGAAACCAATTCTGAAATTGCTGGATTTTCCGATGCCGATTGGGCAGGAAATGCTGATGACCGAAAAAGTACTTCTGGAGGTTGTTTCTATGTTGGAAATAATCTCGTTGCTTGGCATAGTAAGAAACAAAACTGTGTTTCTTTATCCACTGCCGAAGCTGAATATATTGCTGCTGGTAGTTGTTATACGCAATTGCTTTGGATGAAGCAAATGCTTCGTGATTATGGCATTCATCAAAGTTCTTTTTCTGTTTTCTGTGACAACACTAGTGCCATAAACATTTCCAAGAATCCTGTTCAACATTCTCGTACCAAACATATTGACATTCGTCATCACTTTATTCGTGTTTTAGTTGAAGAGAAGGTTTTAGTGCTGGAATACATTGCCACTGAACATCAACTTGCAGACTTGTTTACTAAGCCTTTAGACACTCATCGTTTTGAAACCCTTCGCAAGGCTTTAGGAATATGTCGTGTGTCTTAACTTCTGTTGGTTTTCATTTTTCATGTTTCTTTTTCTCTCTTTTCATTTTTCTAGCTTCAAAAAAAAAAAAAAAAAAAAGGGGTTTTCCATATCTTTTATGCACAACTTTTGTCCACAAAATTCTTTGCTTTGTGCTAAACATGATATATTTTGCCTTGGTGGTTGATACTATATGTATGTTTTCTGATTAAACATGACTACTTGCCAGAAACTCCGCACCTTGTGAGCTTTTGAGCCTCCATTAGTGTATGCATTTTTCATACACTTTTAATTGTTTCTGTGTGATATATCTTATGTGATTTGACTCTCTAGAACTTGCTTTGAGATCTCTCAAGGCTTTGTATCACTACTTACTCTACCTGTAAGATGAAAGTCCGACTTACGTTCTTCATCATTAACCTATAAGCCCCCTGCCTTATTATTATTTTATTATTTTTTTTCTATCTGTCTTATGGAGCTTCTTTTTAAGCCCAGATTACCCACTTCCATTTTTATACACTGTTTCTCACCTCCATTGCAAAATCAAAGCCAGTTGCCTCCATCGTTCTTTTAGAGTCCAAGAGTGTTTCACTACTGCAGACAAAACTATTGTGCTGATAGCAACTTTCCAAGTCAAGACAAGATATTGATAAAAAAATAAAAAATAAAAAAATAAAAAAAATAAAAAAAACAAAGGGAGACCAACGTCGTATGATTTCCACACATATATCAACGGAATCAACAGCAGGCCTATCAATAGAATCCAAGGACGTAATATCACCGCTACAGTTATACATGAAGACCACTAATAATTCAAATGTGTGCAGCGTCTTCTATTGCTCCAGTGGTTCTTTCAGTCTCAAACTCTCTCCAGTTTTATATCTCAAGGACTCTAAAACTTTCCGGACTTCTATTCTCCTTATTCTCTTTTAACTTTATCCAGTCCCTAAGCCTAGTTACTACCCTTCGTAAGACTTTCTTTCATCTCTTGAGAGTAGGTTGTTGATGTGTGGAGATAAGATTGATCTGCAAGCCTATGGTCGGGCATTCACATAATGATCTTTTTGAGTGTAAACACTTTAACCCAAACACCTTGAGTGATATTTGATCATATTCCATGTGAGTTTAGGGGTTGATGTTGAGATGGCTTGTTTAATCATATTGCATGTATATGGTTTCGACTATTTTGGCAGTCTCCTGGTTGTATTATGTTTCTGTGGCCATTACATTGTGCCTTTTGTTTTATTTCTTATTTTTTATTTTATTTCTTATCTTTTTGGGTGTTCTAGTTGCTTTGCAATTGGAGTAAATTGGGTTTCTCTCTTCTTTATAGTACGGTTTCTTTCATTGTTCATTGCACGTTGTACACTAATTTTTTTTGTCATGGCATCCTCACGCAAGTCTGCAGTTCCTCTTGTTCTGAAAGGCAAGACTCCTGTTATTAATCCTTCCTTCTCTCCTCACTATACACGTTCTGTGAAACGTAAATTGTTTTCTTCCCCTTCTGATTGTTTTCCCAAGCGGTCTTCCAACAAATGCTTGATCTGAACAAGAAATTTTCTTTTCTCGAACGTTTCATTAAGTCATCCACAAATGATCTCAGTCATCGTATTTCTAATTTGGAGCAATGTTTTCATCGCCTTCCCAACCACTTGTTTGCTCCTCTCATTCATATTTCTTCTTCTGATGACGAGGATGACTTTCATCCTGATTGTGTTCCATCGTCTCCTCGTCCTCCTTGTCCACCTATTCCGGACCACTCACCGCTGCCTACTCTTAATCCAGAAGATGATCCAGAACAGGATCCCGAAGAGGATCCCGACGACGATCAGGATTCTGATCTCTACTGGGTTTCGGATGACGATGGTGCTGCCAAGCATGATTGATTATTGGCTTTGGCGTTTCCCTGTGACAAAAAGGGGGAGAGACTAGAGTTAGGGGGAGAGACTTTAGCTAGAAGAGTTCTTTTTGTTTTTAGCTAGGAGAGTATTTTCGTTTGTGAGTTTTTAGTTAGACGAGCTTGTTTGATGTTACATGATGTTTGGATGATTATTTCTTAATAAAGTTTTTTTTAATTGCTGCACGATGAAAGATGTTGATATGCTTGAATCATCTTTAAGTCTTAATTTTATTGCAACATCTATTTTTTGTACGTCACGGGTGTTTTGTTTAATGTGTGCAGATTACAGACTTCAGTACATTAGTTTAAGGTTTCTACAATGTTGTTAATTGAGGGTTTTGTCAAGGAAATGCCAAAGGGGGAGATTGTTAGGGTAAAATTGGCAATCCCTGACATAATGCCTGAGTCTGTAATAGCTTAGACTTGTTATACATTTTCAATTGTAATAGGTTAAGTCTAGGAAGGGTTCTCACACTTTCGATGCAAAGATGTTACCTACACGCGATAAATATTCAGGTATGTTTGCATGCATACATCCAACTACATTCATCTATATCTCATGTTATTGTTTTTGATATAGGACTCTTAACCATTGTGTGGTTTATCTCTTTAAAATATCTTATTCCTTTATATTCGAGATTTTAAAGCATGCAAAATAGTCTAATTGCATTAGGACTAATCTGATGGTATTGAGACTTTTCAAACCGTGTTATCAAAACGTGTTTGGGTGTTGGTAGAGTTATTGATCAATATGGATTGTCGATTTAGCTAAAACAGGTTTTAGTTATGAAATCTTATCAGGTTAAATTGGTTCCCGTGCATTGAGGATTTATAAGGAAGCTTTGAAATTGTTTCAAGCGAACCATTTATGCATAGAAACTGATTTTATTGAAAAGGATTTTTGAAGAAACATCAGTTGGGTTTTTCGTGTGCGTGGAAAAATAATTGAAATACTGTTGTTTGCTTATGGTTCCAACAGCATGGGTTTTTAAGAGAAGATATTATTTTTCATGCTGTTTTTCTTTGAGGTTTTAAATTGAATACCAATTATGGAAATGAGCCTTGTGATTTTCGTAATTGATTGTTTTCCAAATAAACACTTCATCATATAAACATTCTGCATAATCGAGTTAGCATCGTGCAAAGTTCGAGGGAAAGGTGATTGACGGTTGCGTTAGTACCGTGCCACTTCAACTCGAGGACTGAAGAAAGATCGAGTAGCAAAGCGTGAAGACAAAGCTGCCAACTGGTATGAGTGTCTAGTTGATGAGTTTTGTAAGTCTTTATGTATTCTTTCTTTCTTAGTGCTTCCTGGCTTGGTAGCCCGAGGATTTTCCCAGTGGTGGGTTTTGCCTCGTTAAATCCTACATCATGTGTGTGCTTTTTATATTCATGTTGAATATTTGTGTAGGATTAATTTTGAATAACTGATTAATAGAAACCATAATTTGCTTTAGCGTTAAGTTGTCATTTATAGATTAAGTTAGTACCCATCCTAGGACTTTCAGTTCCGTCCCACGTTTGGTGCGCCTAAAACGGATGGAACGCGCTGTTCCACTGGACGAATTTTGGGTGAATTTTCGTTCCGCCTCACCCCTCCTGAAACGACTCGTTCTACATCCGTGGAATACAAAATTATAACCTCTTCGTCTCCTTCTTCTTCCTTCTTGTTTCCATCTGAGGGCATCTTTGCTCTCTCTTCATTCCGTCCCGTCCTGTCCCGTCTCGTCTGCATACCAAACGATACCTAAAGCATTATGACTTGTACGAAATTAGGCTGGACTTGGGCCTTAAATATCCGTACCCGAGGAAAGCCCACTGGGCTTATTTGACATGTTCCGCACTCTAAACAAAGTATGGCGCGTTAGGGTCTACCATTTGGCGGGAACGTGGACTTCAGACGACGGAAGAAAGCTTCTGAGCTTCTCAGAGTAAAAATGGCGAACAAGCTCATCAACCAGATGGGCCTCCCCCAAATCCATCGCCAACGTTTTCACCGCTCGTAACATCACCACCGCCAAGGTAACATTCAATCGAATGTTCCAAAAAAAATTAAAATTTTAAATACTTTCTGAAATTTTCAATTTTGGGGGGTTTAAATATGAATTTCAGGAAGCTCTGTCGTTAACCGAATTCGAATTAATGGAGGTATTAGATGTGAATTTGGCAGAAGTCACGTCTGCGATAGCCCGCATCAGTGAAATCACATGTCCTCCCTATCAAACCGTGATCCTCAAAACCCTTATTTATTTATTTTTATTTTTACTTTTTTATAGAAATATTTGAAAATTTTCTTTCTTTGGGTGTGTTTCTGATATGCTGTGGTTTTATCTGTGTTTGATTAGGTGCTAAGTCTAATGGAGCAACAGGTTCAGAAGGAACACAATGGCGGTCACCTTTCGACGCGCCTCAAAGGCCTAGACGATGCCTTGTGTGGTGGCATTCCATTTGGGGTTTTGACAGAGTTGGTTGGTCCTGCTGGCATTGGCAAAACACAGGTATACTTCTAATTCTTTCGCCAATCTGATCGTCGTATATCATACATCCTGATTTATATTTACGTGTAACTAAGTATCCGTTTGAATGATTATTTCAATTGCAGTTCTGTCTGAAGCTTGCATTGTTGGCTTCGTTGCCAGAAGCTTATGGAGGTTTAGATGGTCGGGTAATATACATCGATGTAGAATCCAAATTTAGTTCGAGAAGGTAATAAACTGAAGATCTATAAAACATCAATTATCGGCTGTTTTGTGTCAAAAAATTTCCTTACCATATTTTGTTAAAGATGGGAGATTTTACCTTGACCTGTCATTATTAGGATGATAGAAATTGGATCAAAGAGTTTCCCAGAAATATTTCACAAGAAAGGAATGGCACAAGAGGTATTCATATGGGAAATGATTGCGCTCTCTATAAGATTTTTAGTGAATATCATATGCTTGATTAATGAAATATTATCCTCTATTTGCATGGTAGATGGCTGGTAGGATTCTTGTTATGCGGCCGACATCACTTTCTGAGTTCACTGAGAGGTATTATTCGAAACAAAATTTGTTTTCTGTTATCCCTAGTGAGAACATTAATCCTGGTGTACAGGGAACTCAGTTGTCCACTAGCATTGACAAAATGTGCTGTGGACTTTTGAGATACAACTAAATGATTCAACATGAGTGTCGGACTATGCCAACTTGTTAAGATGATTTTCATTCCAGTTTGCAACAACTCAAGATCTCACTCCTTCAAAACCAAGTGAAGTTGCTAATTATTGATAGCATGGCTGCTCTTGTTGCAGGGTAAGTTCAAATATTCTACGATGCTTGTAACCTGTTCTGGATATAGTCGTTTATGATTAGGCCATTTTCAATTGATTTCCATTTATGACTTTGTTTTAGGATAAGAAATAGTACTTGGGATACTAAACCTTGTTGTTCCAGGCCCATGTCTCAATAGAATTTAGAATTTCCGAGCAGATAAAATAAAATTTACTTTCATTACAAGCTGTTTATAGAAATATCGGAGAACCTCTTTGACACCCATGTCAATGCACTATATATATATATATATAGATATATATATATATATATAGACACACACACATATATATCTAGTTTTCAAATTTTGGTTCGTGAATTTATAAAATATGGTCTGTTTTCCTTTATCCCTATGTCTTGGTTAAGCTATATAATCCTATGTTTTTTCATTATTTCGTGTACATTTACATAACATGTCTTCGAATAGAATAGTCATGCTTTATCCAGTTTGCTTTAATGATATTTGTCCAGGGAACAGGGGCAGGGCGCACCTAGGCAGCATCTACTGGGTTGGCATATTTCCTTTATTAAGTGAGAATCCTAGACTGTTGGAACTTTATTGGTGTTGATGATTGTGCTTTTTATTTTCGGGATTAAGCTCCTTCACTTCCTTAACATATCTAGGTCACTTGCTGAATTTTCACGCATCCCTATTGTTGTTACGAACCAAGTGAGATCTCAAATTCATGATGAAGCCTGCCAGTATGCTTTTCAAGGTAGGATAGTTTGGTCAAATTGTGAGATTCTTCATATGAATTATGAATGTAATATATCTTACTCTGCAGTGCAGCACAGGGAAAAAGCATTACATGAACATACAGAATATGATTCTCATCTTGTTGCTGCTTTGGGGATTCACTGGGCTCATGCTGTGACCATACGTCTTGTGCTTGATTCTAAATCTGGTTTGTATGCTTGGACTTCAAAACGATTATACTGTCATGAAGCCGCCTCTTTCTCCTTAGTTGTATATGAACATGCTTTTCCTTTTGATGCATGTTATTCATATGCTGCATATCCATCGTTGGAACTAGGATATGTTTCAAATCCGTTTTTAAGATATGAGTGTGTATGCCTTGCCTTCTCCTTCTTAATATCTTCACAAATCTGTCAGAAGATTGACAGTAAGTAAAACCTCTTCCTTCATTTTGATTGTTCTGTATTAGCATTTAGCAACATCCTTATAGGCATCTTTCTGAAACCGGAATTCTTACCATACATTATTGGAATTGAATGGTGATAACATTTTATGGCTCTGAAGATTTACAAGATATGCCCAGAGACAGCCAAATTGTAATGATTTTTAATGAGATGGCTGCAATGGTGACACTTCTTGGAATCCAGAATCGTCATTTCCCTTATTCCTCATTCTGACTCCACATTCTCGTTCCCTCTTGTAGGGAAGAGGTTCATCAAGCTGGCAAAGTCTCCGATATCACCCCCTCTGGCCTTCGCGTTCAACATAACATCATCTGGAATCTCATTGCTAAGCGATGGTGGAATAGAACTGACAGGACCAGAGATAAACACAATTCATTGCCAAGGTTTGTCACTAAGACTTCTTGTATTAAGGCAATTTATCAACAGCACAGAGAGTGGAGTACTTAGTGCGTAGTATGTATCATTTAGTAATTTTTTATGTGATATCCCACTGGAAAAACCACTTTGACAACTGAGGAACTAATATGAGTTCACTTGGCATGGTTGCTCTCACCTGCATGATTGTGGAAATCGCCTTCTCACTATATGTTTTAGAAAATCGGTTTCCATATTTCAAGGTTTTTCTGCTGTCCACCTGCATGATTATGGAAAATGTCTTCTCGGTTTATATGTTTTAAGAAAATATTGCCACTCGAGTTTGTTTAGGAGTTTTCTTCTTTAGAGTGAAAGTCTCATTTTGTAGTGACACAAATGCAGGACACAGCGACATAATTAATTTTGACGGGAAAAGGTTTCAGTGATCAATCTGAAGGAAAGCAGCATCATAAATGTGTAGGAATTTGCAAGAAATTCAATACGATGGTAGAAAAAATATGTGCCTCAGGTCAGCTTACAAACTCAATACGCATCACTTCTCCATGCACAAAGCTAACCATCCAGGAAAGATCAACTGAAATTTAAAACTTGCTGAGGGCCCTTTTTTCTCTTAGCAGGTTTAGAGTTTGTGTTTATCTTCTATGTTTTGTACTCCTTTCATGAGCAGGGTGTATAATCCGTTCGATGTGAAGTTGTTGATAGTGAATGTTGGTTGACAGGTTTCTTGGTATTTGCCAGTATATACAAACTCATTATTCGTCACCATTTTCTGTAGTACAATTTGTTATCTTTATCATTTCTTAATCAACGGGGAGCGAGGAATCAAACTCACAGACATCTTCCAAATTTTGGGAAGTTACCGTTAGACAAAGAGCTAGTCGGTGTACAAGGAAGTCCGGTAGAGCAAAACCCACCGGTCAGAATACGAGTTGTTACTTCAAATGAGGGACTTGGATTGTCTGCCCTCCCCATCCCATACCCTCATGCCCTTCAATTTATGTGATCACGGTTAAGCCATGTCAACATTTTATATTTCCATTACTTTTTGTCTTATTATTTTTATAAAAAAAATCAATATAAAATGTTGACGTGTCTTAACCGTGACCACAAAATATATGGCGCATGGGAAAGGTATGAGATGGGAAGGGCAGACAATCCAAGTCCTCAAATGAGACTGACTGGCAGTATAATGCACCAGACTGCATCAAGCAGGTCCCGCTGCCGGCCTGTGAATTTGAGTCCATTTAATCTTTGCCCATAGCAAGTAGGTAAAGCCCAAGAGAATTGACGGTACCTATCTAGGAGACTAGGATATGCCATTTTATGTGCTATTTATAGGCCCATTTTCTGTGGATCGGGAGATTCTTACATGTAGTCGAAAATGCATTCCTAGTCACATGATGAGTGAGGTAGAGTGATGGTAATAATATCTTTGTTAACACCAAGTTTTGTTTACCTTTATTCTAATATTGGAAATTAGTTTATTTCAGGATTAGCCAATCATGTTTAACTTACAAGAAGGAAAACAGAAGAACAACACTTTTTGAATCCTCTGACAAAAAGGGTGGAAAATTAGAGGCCATTGCATACTGATTTGAAATAAGAGAACTGTTTAATGAAAGATGATAGAGAAAAAACAAAGATTAGGATAGTGGAATGATGATCTCAAGTTGAAGGACAAAGAAATTAGGTACCAAACATGCTCTTAAGTAAATGGGGTTGAAGATATCCAACTTGGAACTTCGAGTGCAATGATAGATATTCTTATACACACTAGTTTTCTTTTTTTCTCATGATGTTATTGTGTTACCTTTTATGAATGGAGTTTAGGTGAGAGCCATTATTTTCTTGAGACATCCTATTGGAAATATGCTTTACTTGATGCGCATGTTAATATGAAATTAAAGGCAAAAGCCATCTTTAGAGTAGAGAATGATATCATTTATCTCAACCAATAAAAGGAGGAGACGGGGAAGAAGCGTTCCACGCAACTTATAACTCAATAAACTAACAGTATCCAGACTAGACTAAGGGACAAACTTCCTCTCTCTTGTTCTTTTAACTTACACCTTACACTATCGTTGAGTCTAGCAAGGCTCAGGCGTGGAGCCTTTTACTATGGACGGGAGTTTGTATATGACTCTCCTGATCTCTCGCCTTCTTCAGTATTGGTAGTATAAAAAAATACTGAAAGATCTAGATTGGTTTGGATATATATCATGGACCACTACTTGATTATGTTTCACATGCATCATGGTTACTATATATCTTTCAAAATAATGTAGCTAGTCTACAAGACTAGATCGGATCTTTAACAAGAATTTCTTAAGGAAAACTAATGAAAAGGACTTGAAAATTTTGAGTTTTAATGATAAGGACAAAATAAATGATAAAGTGAATAGTACCAGGATTGACTTTTTAGTGTAAAAATGTGATTTTTCGTTAAAGTGAACAGTACCGGGTGCTTTTCGTTAAAGTTCCCAATTTCTTAGTCTTCGCATGTACTCCATCAAGATTCAAGTTGAACACAATTTACTCTTTTTATTTCTTTATTCTTTCTAGGAACCAAGGAAAGGGTGATTTTATATTCCTACATATATATATATATATATATATATATATATATATATATATATTTAAACAAATATAACTGTGTTGCCTGTTCATAACCTAAAAGGTCATAACGTAGTCCAAAATAATATACATGAGAAGAGGTCAAACCTTGGACTAGGTTTTAAGGTTTCCTTATTTGCTTGTTTATCTTTTTGTTTATATGAGACAGAACGCGCATGCTCTCTCTCTCTTAATATTCATATGCATGTTTTTGTATAGCTGTTTGGGAAAATGTTAGAGAGATCATGTTTTAAGATCATGGTTTGTTGATAACATGATATTGTGGTTGATAGTTGAATGCCTTATTTAAGGACTTAAATAAGGAATTCAACCATCAACTACTACACGCTACTTAGTACTACGGTCTAATAGTATTTCTCCTTACTTGTAAGTCAGAGGTCTTAGGTTAGATTATTGCTAAAGACAAATTTGAACCATATTATTATGGTGAGCCCAGTGTGAAGTTTAGCCAACTTCTCCCCCTCTTACAGTAAATACCATCATTTGGTCCAAAACTATCAACTGTTGCACCATGGTCTATAGCAAATGGTCTCTCTAATATCATATTTGTTTTTAAACATTGTGAAGAAAGAATAATCCCTTGAAGCAGCTGTAGCCTGTCACTAAACTATGCAAAAATGTTTGGTTTGCAAAACATTCTTTAATTCTACAAAAAAAAAAAACATTTCTTGATTTGATAAGCATGCCATAATTTGGACTTGATTAACTTTTAAGCCCATCGTCAAAAACCTCATTAAACAAATTAGTTTGATTATATTCCGATTCAGCTCCTCTGAATCATTAATATAATCTAATATAATAATTGTGGTTTTGGATTATGCTATTATAATATGATTTTTTGGCATCTTAATCTCCTCGAAATTTATGCCATTCTACTATTGGTTTTTTTATTAACACCCCACAGATTATTGAATACACCTCACATAAATATTATTATTAAATCACTCATTTATCTTTACATGAAATGACTATTTAGCCCCAAAAAATTTAAAAGAAATTAAATACACAATTATTACTAATATGAACCCTAATCTAAATTAGTTGTCTAAACCCGAACCCTGAAATCCTAAAACCCCTAATTGATAAAAACCCCCAAATTGATAGAAACCTAAACCCTAAAAATAAAAAAATGTTACGAATTCGTAACCATAACTACTCCAAAACAAATTTGTCTCTAAGTGGTAAGCTTGGCAGTTGGCGCTACTTTCTTTTAAGTTTTATACAGTAAAAAGAATTGAACCCATTATAATTTTGAAAAAAAAAATAAAAATTCATCCATGTCCTATCATTCTTTATTAGGTTAAAATTTTGTGAGATCGACTCTAGAGGAATAACCGAGAGGGATACAAATTTTGGATTTGTGCTCTACCAGTAAAATAAACCAACAATCGAATGTCATGTAGTTGACCTCATAATTAGTATTTACATGTTTAGCGAGTGTCTTGAAATTTGGAGGTGTAGTGAGATTGAACAATGAGAGAATGTTGAATGTATGTGAATAATGTGGGTTGTATGTAGAAAGTTTGGGGTGTGAGGATAGTGTAGGAAAGTATGTGGGGTGTATGTACTAAGATAAATTTTGATTGAAAAAGTAGATGTGGGGTGTATTTAGTATGTGAGATATATTCAACAATATATAAGGTTTTAATAAAACAACCCTTCTACTATTTTTATTATGCTGATTTGTTTGTCCCATTTGGGTAATATTAGAATATTAATTAGTACATTGTATCTGGTGTCCATGATCCTTAAATTCAAACTATTTTATTTATTTAATTTAGTAAATTAAAATTTTGTATTGCAACATTTTTGTATTTGCAGGTGGAAATTTCGGATACATTAAACTTGATCATAACCAGGTGTATTTGCCTCACCAATGCTTCCGTTTCAAGAGACAAACTGATCACTTTTAGTAGAGATTAAATGATTTTTCTAGTTTATTCTTTAACCGTCGATGAACAAACTTGATCATTAAGTCTCCAGCTAGATGATTGCCATTACTTAAGTCATTTCTGAGTTTTAAGTACAATTAAACTATGATGTATTTTTAATCAAAGATGATGATTATTTTGTTGTTTTTTGTCATATAATATATAAAATGCATTCATTTTTTTTTTGGGAGTTGGGGCCTTGCGGTATTGCTCTCCCACAACCTCGTTTTTACTTAAAATCCTATACTTCGTACATCCAAAAAAGGAACGATCCGTTTGGTTTGGGATTAACCTTTGATAATAGGTCGTCCCAGGATGAAGGGGGGGTGGTTGGAGAAATCAAGAAAAAAAGAAAAAAAGAAGACATCACAGCTTTTATTTTACTTCTTGTCACGAGGAGATGGTACAACTACGAGTTGATCAGTATAGATATATTTTAGTGCATAGTTTCATTTTCTTTTTGTACTTTGTATCATTTTATGCATGTATGCACATTTTCATTGAGCAAATTCTAAAATCTGTATATTGGAGGTATGAAAAGCCAGAGACCAGAATAGTCTTGGATCCAATCTGTCTTTTTTCTCATTACTATTTATCAGTCGAATACCATTAAAATTCAAGTGTGCCCATTTTCACTCTAAACTCACTTCCTTTACATGCATTCTTTTTCACTTCATCTCTTTTATTTCAATGCAGACTTCCTTTCACCTCCTTTTGCTTCTTTGTATGTTCTTTAGTCCTTTTGTTATACTTTTAAATTTTCTAGCTTAACTCTTTACCTCATATTCAAGTGTTTGAGTTTATACAATGTTTTTATGTTTTCAGTTATCTGTATTGAATTTGATGGGTCTTTCAAAGTTTGTGCAATTTACTCTAATTTTTCATGTTACGAGGCCCCTTCTCACATAAAATTCTGGTTCTGCCATTGCGAAAAGCAAGTTGGTGTATTGATTAATTTACTTGAAGTAAATACAAGGCCCTCACCAACCCTAATGCTTGGGGTTTGGTGCTTCATCAGTAAAAGAAAAGGTCTTGCATGTACTCGATGTGTATGACATGATGTTGATAAAAACACTGTATGTAAGCTCCTGTTATTTTAAACGTTTATTATACAATTAAGCGAAATGAATCTGAACCGCAAAAGTTGTATTATGAATCCTCATTTTGTTTCTTTAGAATAGTTTTATGTCTACCTTAATTTCCAATGTCCAATGA